GTCATCCGTCATTCGTAGTCGGCAGGATTCGAACCTGCGCGGGGAGACCCCAATGGATTTCAAGTCCATCGCCTTAACCACTCGGCCACGACTACCTTAACATGTCCAACTAACAGAGGCGAAATAATTTAAGAGTCTTTCGCGAAGATAAGACTGCTTTGAGCTATTGTATTCTCGTTGTTTTGCTCTACGGCTCTTATACCGAATTGATAATGCTTTTTTGAAATACCAGAAGTGATTATCTAGACAAAGTGGAACAACTGAATTCGATGTTACAGCCAGTTAAAAGTGCTTAGTAATCCAAAATCAATCGCATAAAATCGTTTGTTTCTATCGCGAAAAAATGTATACTTCAATGTATATATGATTGTAAATAAATACTTCTTACTAACCGAGTTCGAGATCCGTTTTATAAGTTACGGATCCCCGTTTTTCCCCGTTCGACTTATGGCCCAAGCACGAAGAGCGCCGTCAATAAACCGAAGGGGAAAAAAACGGGGATCCGTAACTTACAGTACGTACGGAGAAGACGAGGTTAGTAAGATGTTTATTAGAAATTTCTTTTACCTATAAGAATTTTAAAGGCGTTTTGCTGCCTGTTAAACTTATTTTGCATCAATCAATTTAAAGTAAAACCCTGCAATCGGCACCAAGTGCCGGAGAACACGCTTGGATCACTCATTAAGAGAGGGTAATGATGTCCTGCGTTCAAGGATCGCCTTGTGAAGATATTGGTTTCCGAGAATGAAAAAATAGGTTTTGGCACGATATGCTTCAGACGAGTATCTCAAAATGATGGGCATTGGCGTGCTTCAGGTCTTCCTACTCCCGTCGGAGGTTCAAAGGTATAGTGCATTAGCACTTGTTCATTGCCATAAAACGACCACTGTGCCTACCACTGTGGAAACTACCACTGTGCCTACCACTGTGAAAACGACCACTGTGCCTACCACTGTCAAAATGACCTCTGTGCCTACCACTGTGGAGACTTCCACTGTGCCTACCACAGTCAAAACGACCACTGTACCTACCACTGTGAGAACTACTACTGTACCTACCACTGTCAAAACGACTACTGTGCCTACCACTGTCAAAACGACTTCTGTGCCTACCACTGAGAGAACTACTACTGTGCCTACCACTGTGAAAACTGCTTTGTTACCTACTACTTCGGGTTTCCTTTCAGAGGAAGAAGCTCGAAAGGCTTTTGGTGATCTTCCCTTAGGAGGTGAGAGAAACGCATTTTCTTGAGAGTGTCTCGTTTTTCAACGAAAAGTTATTTGTAGTCCGTTTTTTTCTGCCGTTTCTCTTTCCTGACGCATTTGTTGTTTTTCTTTCAGTGTGTTACTGCAGCAAGTTTGCAACGGTCGATAGACAGTGTTTCCCAACGGCATTGAACAAACCGTGTATTTGTCGAGCGAACTTTGCTGGCACAAGATGCGAGAAATGTGCACCCGGTTATTTCAACTATCCTTTCTGTGCTTGTAAGTAGTACCAGAACTTCTAGTAGTATTCATCTATAAATTCATCACCCATGGTACCAAACACCCAATTTTCAAACTGTACTTATTTGCGCTGTGTTCTTGGGCAAGACACTTCAAGCTCACAGTGCTTCTCCCCACTCAGGTGTATAAATAGGTACCGGCGAATTTAATACTGGGAGTAAACCTACGATGTATGCAGACTTTACTTACCTTACTTATTTGGGGGCATGTTTCTTCACCACTTCGGGCAAGATCTGTCTATCAGGTCGCACAGAGTTAACTGTTGCTTATTAACATATGGCGGCAAAGTGACGTGAAATCATGTTCGGAGTACTAGTGCTGTTCTTATGGGATGACACAATGGAAAAACCTTCAGGTACTTCCATGAAGTTGGAAGTGTATTGACCGAATGGTTAGGCTTATACCTAGTACTTAGTACTTGGTATTTAGTACTTTAGTAGAACTTAGCATCAAGTAATCCGAGGCGCGAATGCCAGCCGGGATTGTTGTGTTGTGGTTTTGTGCGAGACTCGTTAATGGGGAACCTGGCTAATACTCTGGCGGGCTGCCTGCTACGGTCTAGGGAAAGGACAGGGAAACGGCAATCCTAGAATAGCAATACTTGTAGTCACTTGATGCTGTGGTAACCGGAGCCAACCTATGAGCTAGAGAGCCAATAGGCACTTTGCTACCGAGGTCACCTGACAAAAGTTTTGCTCTCCAACAACTTATTCCATACAAAGCTTCTTAATTTTTAAAATTTAGTCGTCATAAAATCTCATCCTTTAATGCCAGGACCCTCAAACTTGGCCATTATGTGGTTTTCGACATGCTTTTTCCATATCTGGCCTAGCTGCAAAGGGCGTATTAAGCATTAGAAACACTCGCCATGGCTTAACTCCATCGTTCTTCGGGAACATTTTGGAAATACAAAACATCATCTTTCTCTACACATGTACCGTTTTTGACTCTGTATTTTGATTTGCGTTTCAGCCTGCAGATGTAACAAACAGGGCTCAGCTAAACTAACATGTGATGAGGAAACAGGGAGTTGTACCTGCAAGACAGGTGTCAGAGGAAGAAAGTGTGATGCCTGTCCTTACGGGTTTTATGGCTTCCCCAATTGTCAACGTACGTTGTCAATAAACATGTTAAAATGTTGTTGAAAGTTGAATGTTTATAGTGGTCAATGCGCTTAGCTACACCTAGCTAGTTCTCAGGCATGCCACTTAAACTGTCTGAAGGAAACAAATATTTCACGTAAAATATCAAACACGAAAGACCGTATGTGACCACATTTCCAAACACCAACAAGAGAGTTGAAAACACGACGCGTAGCGTAGCGTAACTTTGAGGTGTTTGAAAATGTTGTCAAACACTGTCTTAAAGGTTTGATGTCTTCTCAATCGAAACTTAAACGAAGGAGAAAACGGAGAAATAAAATCGTAAAAAGCTATGCTAATTAAGATCACATATCCAAATACCGTCATGGTCAGGATTTCCTTTGTTGAAACTTGATGAGTTACTAATGAGTTTGAGAAATAAATATAATGGGCCTAAACATACCAGCTGGCGGGAGGCAGACCAGTTGGCTATGTACAAACGTGACTCAGGAGTTAAACTAGGGTCAACCGAGAAACAATTCCAGCTTAGTGGTCAGAGCGGAGCTTGAACTTGGGACCTCCGGATTTCAAGTCCGGCGCCCTAACCACTCGGTCACGCTGCCTCTACAACGTGACGTTTTTGGCTTCACCAATTTTAGTGTGATTGCATTATACGATAACCTTAATCCCAGTTTTTATCTTTTCCCACAGCATGCGAGTGTAATCCGTCCGGATCGTACCGCGGTGGTAGATTTTGTGATCCGTACAGCGGTCAGTGTCCCTGCAGATATGGTGTCCGAGGGAGGCAGTGCAATAAGTGTCCTGCGGGTTACTATGGTTTCCCTAATTGTCAGTGTAAGTGTGTTAATTAAGGGTGAGCGTGTCAGTACGCAAAACCAGTCAAAATTTTCACTGTTTGTCTTTTCCCAACCCATGTGGTTAATTTGTTGTTGTGATAATTGGTTCCTGGAATGTCGCACTAAGAAATTATTTTTTTTCTAAGTTAGTTCTAATCCTTTAACTAGGGTAAACGCAGCTAAATAACCTGTTTTGTGGGCAAAGATTGAAGTAAATTTGACAGTCGACTTTTGGGTGCGCGCATGGGAGAAGACGCGCTTGTTTCTCTCTCGCTGCGCTCGTGGGAGAAGACGCGCGTGTTTCTCTCTTGCGCCCTCCTAGTTTGTGCCTTGTGTCAACCTTTTTGCCAGCCATATTGGAACAAGCCGAAGAGAATGAGTTCTTTTTCTACTTCATCTCCTAGTATTAAAAAAAACAGGGTACTTGCGCTTGTCGTTTCTCTCGCAACGAAAATGTTTACCAAGTATGTTATGTTAAGTTAAAGTAGCTGTTAATCAAAAGTTTCCGTGAATCTGGGTGAATTTTACACTCATACTACAGTATTTGCAAGTCACGCAAGAGTCTTCAAAATGTAACTGCGCATTCCATGTTTTCAGGGTGCGGATGTAATCCGTTGACAACAACTGCAGACATCTGTGAAGATTATCGCGGCAGCTACAGGTGCTTATGTAAAGCCAACTTCCAGGGTTTCTTCTGCGGACAGTGCAGGCCAGGACACTTCGGCTTCCCTGTTTGTCAAAGTGAGTGTGTAAAATGCAATACCATTGATTGATTGCCGATTGATTTTTCTTGATAATGTTTGTCTATCCTCGAGTTCCATTTCAGATTTCCACCAATGTTTCACCACGAAAAACACTCTTTTTACGCTTTTTGATTAGTCCGCAGGCCTGAAGTAAATACAAAAAAAGTACACCAGTAGCTTCTAC